TGATAAGACTTTAAAATGAATACACGTGCAATACTCTTAGCACACTTTCATTTTTTTTTTTTTATACTGGGGATCAAACTCTGGACCTTGTGCTTGTGAGGCGGGCAGCAGTACCACTGAGCTACCTTAAAATGTTTTCAATAATTCTTTGACATCATTAAATACTTAGTCAAGTTCAAATAGCCAAATGTCTCATAAATGCCATAACATTTTTATTGTATTTTTGATCCAAGATTCAAACATATCTTTAAAAGAATAATAAAAATTTTGGCAGTAGCTAAATATCTGGATAGCTATGCCTTCTGATTCTCATATATTGGATTTTCTTAGAGTGCAATAAATATTTATATTTTATTGAAGCTATGTATTCCGTCATTGTATTCCGTTGGACAGCATTGCTATGTGTTTTTCCATAGGTAATTCAATACATTTTTTTCTTAACTCTGCCATAGATATGTGCTTGAACTGTTCACTCAACCTGATCATCTCAGTTTCAAAATCTTACAAAAATGTGTTGAACTAGACCTGGCTATTCAACGTGACTTTATTTTGAACCTACCGGGTAGAAAGCAGGACAGCAGATGGTTAAGAAGAAAACAGATTCCCAGCAGATCTGGACAATTGCCTGTCACATACAGGTCACATAAGCTGGGATGAGTTTCTTAACTTCTCTTTGTTTCAGTTTCTGAGTCTGAAATCTGAAACCCAGAAAGATTTTTATGTATGTGCATAGGAATGGTGCGGCCAGAAGGCTGACTAAAATGAGAAAATGTGGGTGCAGTGACTGTAACGTCGTCTTCCCTCAAGAAGGGGCAAACGGAGTTAGAGTTGGAGCGGAGAACGAAGGGAGGAGGCTGGCAGGACAGGCAGCAGTCAGGGCAGTGCTGCCCAGTGCAGCCAGCCCAGCCACACATGGCCTGGGGCACTCGAAGTGTTGTGGGTCCACTCGGAGGTGTGTTACAAGTAAAATATACTTGGTATTTGAAGACGTGGTAAGAACAAGTGACATGAAATAGCTCATTAATACGTTTTAATGTGCGGTACATGTAGAAGTTATAATTGGATATGTTGGGTTGAGAAATCATTATTGAAATTAATTTCATACTTTAAAAGCTTTTATGAATGAATGTTGCTGCTAGAAAAATTTAAATTACAAGTGTGGCTTGCCTTGTATTTATTTTGGACAGCACTGCACCAGATCCAGAGTTGCCAGTCCTACTATTTGAAACCGATCTTGCTCCTTCTCCAGGTTTCCCTCTACTCAAAGGTGTCTGAAAATTGGCTCCTTTCCCTTTGCACCTTAACCTGCTGGTTCTGTTTCCTTAGCTGCTGGGTCCTCTTGCCAGCTCCACTGGGGGACGAGGTTATTAGAAATCCACTCAGATTCTTTTCCTGCCTAACGGCCCCTCCAGCCCATACTGTCCTTAAAGCTCTCCATCTCTTCATGGCTGCCAGACACATTCATAGTTTGTGATCAAGGTATAAAATTCTCTATACAACTGACCTCAACATTATTTTGTTTTTTATGGCAGTACTGAGGATTGTTATAACGCACAGCCTTCACCTGAGCTATATCCCCAGTCCTTTCTTTTTAATAAGCATTTATTTTGAGACAGAGTCTCACTAAATTCTCCAGGTTGGACTCAAACTTGTGGTCCTCCTGCCTCAGCCTCCCAGAGTTCTGGGATTGTAGGTGTATGGCACCACTCGCTGCTGACCTCAGTCCTGCTGATGTTGCCAGACCTCCTCTCCAGCTTGGCGCCAGCTGTACCCTAACTGGTGCCTCTTCTGCTATGGCAGCCCTCACCCCACACCAGCTCATCACAAACAGTTGGCTAAGAGTCAGAGGCCAGGGTTCGAGTCCTAGCTCAGCATCTAAAGTCACTAAACCTCTCTGAGCCTCATTTTCTTTCTAGGAAAGGAAGAATAATGAACCCACAACTGAGGCTTTTGTAAAGATTAAATGCAGTAGTGCACATGTAAATGTCACTGTGGAACGTTTCCTGGAAAATATTCCTCACCAGCTGCCCCCACCCCCAACCATGGACATTCACCCAGGCTCCCCCTGGCTTCCCATGTTTGGATCTCTCCTGGGTCAGGCTTCTCCGCCCATCTTGGAGGTTTCTATTCACACATCACTCTTGCCTCGGGATCCGCAGTCCTCAGAGGGTGCTCACAGGGACAGCAGGCGCAGCATTGTCTGGAAACTTGGTACAAAGTATGCCCCAGACTGGCTGAGCCAGCTCTGGGGCTGGAGCCCAGGAATCTGCATTTTAACGGATGTGCGAGGCGAGGCTGCCATTTATACATTGGACAGTGGCTAGGCTGGGTCTGTATGGCCAGAAGCAGGCCCAATTTATCTGGAATGAATGCCCAACTCAAGGACTATTTGTGAAATTTAAAAAAATGGTTGGATGAATCCTGACTCAGAGTGAACCATGGAAGGATTGAGCAGGGATGCCTTTTAGGAGGGCAGTTCTAACAGTGGAGGAGAGGTGGAACTTACTAGAGGCAAGAGAATTTGCTCATAGAAAAATCGCATGAAAAATCTGGATTTACAAGCCAGATATAAAAAGTACTTATTTACAAAAGTTTGCCTTGATTTTTATAATATCCCTTACTAGATCATTTTAAAATGTATTATTTCAATGATATAGGTCGTGTTTTGCAAATTTGTTGGAAAACATACGTGTATCTATGTAAAATTTATCACTTCACTCACAAATTATTTAATTTACTAGTTCTGAAATCTTATACAGATTTGGTATTCATGGATTTTTTAAAATTTAAAGCATAATCTGTTTGATTATAAAAGTAAAATTTTATAGCAATAAGTGTATTAAAAGTCAAATTACTACTTGAAGTTCAATATGATTATAGAAATAATAGTTTTGTGTTACCTTAAAACATATCTTAGGACAGACACTATGTATCACTTGTTTTATTTTGCATTAAAATTTAAAAAATAAAGCGATCATCTAGAAATATTTCAACTGCCATGATTTGTGCTCAAATTAAGAAAAAATTGATATTAATACATAATATAAAGAATAAAGCAAACCACAAAACACATGACACGTAAGCAAATTACACAGCTGAAGGAGCCCCACGATCGCTCCATGTGATGCCCGCATTCACTGCTAGTAGGTCGTTGTTCCACAGACGGGAGGGAATCGAGCCAGTGTGTAGGTGAGCACATGGAACTTTCAGTTTGGGTCCTGACCTCTAAATGATCTTCACCATGAAATAAGGACGTTCAGCTCTTCCCACAGTGAACATTTCCACTTGGAATGCACCGTTAGGTGCCCAGGAGGCCCATTCCTTCCCTCTTCCTCGCTCAGTCTTTATTTCAGGAAGTTCCTATCCGCTGGAGCAGAATCACCACATCGAGAGTCTCCCGTGTAGGGCTTCCACCTGCCTGTGCTTGTCCAGGACGAAGCGCATGCCTGGTGGGAGTCAATGAGACATGACCGGAAGTCTGAGGTGTGGCTTATAGGAAGAGATTTTTTTTTCTAATGAAAGACAGACACCTATGGGAAGAAGTGCTTCTGCGCCCATTCTTTTACTCCTTCCCTTAAAACGTAGTGTCGGTCACCCTGGAACCACGAGGCTATGTCCTGGGAAAGAAGGAAAATGGGAGGAAACCGGAGGTTGAGGAAGAGAGACTGGAGGTTCTGAGGGAGCAGAGACTGAGGATAAAACCTGAGATGGAATAAAACACCAAAGGACACGGAGAGGATACAATAAGGGGCTGAGAGAAAAGAGACTTAGTGGGCAGGAATGGGGGAGGACAGAGGCAAAAACCAGGCCGGGAGAGGAAAGTACAGCAGGTGCTGGTGGGGAAGAGGCTGACAGTTTTAAAGTCCTGGTTTCCCGTGATTCTTTAGGCTTAACAGTTCCTCCACATGGAAAGAGTTGAAAGAAGGAAATTCTTAGTTCATCTTAGCTCAGTCTATTCCGGCCATTGGATCTAGTCTGTGCGAATGACCTCTTTCTTCTGGCAGAGCTATACCCAAGACCATTAAAATTTTTGAAGAATTGGTCATTTAAAGACAAAGAAAGATTCTAAAGTGGTATGAGTGCTGGGTAAACAAAACAAAAATGACTTTTGAAAAGGTCCAAAAGTGGACAAAATAAACTGAACAAGTCTCATGTGAAATGCTGACATTTTTGTCAGAAGAATACATTTTGAAAGATTAATAGTGAAGTCAAGCATCTTTTTGATTTTTTTATTGACTTTTGAAGTGTTTTTGCCCATGAAATGCTTATTTGTATATTTAGCTCATTTTTTGATTGGTTTATTTTTCTTTTTATTTATATGAGTTTATGTATTGTCAATACCAATCTTTTGCCTGTGATATATACATTTCAAATGTTTTCTCACAATCTCTTCTTTGTCATATAAGCCTTTAATCCATTTGTAATTTGTTGCAGAATTTTGACTGGAATTTAATAGGGTTTTTATATTCAGAAGCCAAATTTCACAAGACACTTTGCTGAAAAATCTGCCTGTTCTCCATTCCTCCACAAGGCTTGCTTGTTAAGAGTTTACTGCAGAAGAGTTCATCTCAGGGGTGCCCACTGCATTTTAGCCAACTGCCCTGTGAATTATTATGTATGGCTTAATTATTGTATCATTACCTGGAGTTTTTGTTGCAAAGTTTCTTACCTGTTCTCATTTTTTTATGATTACAGCTGAAATTTAGCATAATTTTCTCAAGTTCAAATATAAATGCTGGCATTCAGGGAGTTTGTTCAAGTGGACAGAGGATAAATGACTTTTGCTTCATTAATTTTTGTTTATTAATCCTAAGTGCGAATGTCTAACATACCAGCCTTTGGAGTCAGCAACACTTTTATTGTGCTCTCTGAAGTCCTTCTCAATTCAGGGGTCTCCAACCAGTATAAAGCTGGCTAGAACTATTAGCATTAATTTATTCACATCATCTTGTTTGTCAAGCGGGTTAGAGCAGCTGTGAGGAAAAACCCCAGGCTTCTGGATGTCACTTCTGTTTCCTTCACAGGTTGTTCTACCGAACCCTGTCCTCTGTGTCTTCCTGTTCTACACAGTGCACTACATGTCTCTGGGCTTGTGTAGCCTGACAAGTAAGTAGCATGTTGTCTTCAAATAGAATCAGAAAGTTAACACTGAATATGAAAAGAGTTTCTACTTGATGTTTGACCTATCTCGGGATTAGAGAATGCAGGTTTTTCCAGTGAATTTTTCAAAACTTTTGTTGTTGAAGTAAAAATAAAATGTCTTCATCTTCGATGATGATAAAAGTAGCTGTCACGAAATGACAGGGCCAGAACCAGTCAGCCTGTTCTCACCTCGGTGGAGGATGATCCTGGGAAGAAAGTGAGAATGTTGCTCCTGGGTTGGTATTGAATCAGAGGAGTTTGGATGAGAACATGCTTGAGATAATCTACAACCAATTGAAATGTTTTCTAATTTCTACAGGAGTCAGCTTTGGGCTGCAGGTCAGGAGACCAGCCCTGCAGCCCAGATGCTGATTAATTTCCTGACTCATCTTGACCAAGCCATGCAGCTTCTTTTATTTCAGTGTCATTTGTCAAATGAAAGAAATGATCCAGAAAGGGTTATCATGAGGACAAAATGAAATTAGCACATTGCTTTTAATGGTCTCATTTCTGTGTAAGTCTGAGACATTGTTTTTCAGGTAATATTTTCTCTCATTGTGCTTGAAAATTTTCCCTACCAATGTAGATGGCCAAGATGTTGGTTGCCTTGAAATAAATGATATATGTTTTCACATCATTTTCTATAGATGAGTATTTATGCAAAGTGATTTCATTGCGCAAGCCAGGGATTCCATTTTAATATGAAAACTAATACCAAAAGCTACTGATACGGGGACTTTTGCAATGGAAAGAAAGTCTGACATGCTGCGGCGGGCAAGCCCACGGAGGAAGCCTCCAAGGCTCAGTCTCAGCTGCTGTGTGGAGCTGGAGTTGGGTGAGAGCAGCCTGGAGCAAGCAGGAGGCTGACCTTGAGCTTGGGATTGGAGAGTTTGTAAACAACAGAGTCAGTGCTAAGGGACTTGAAGTAATTGTTCCTTAAAGCTCCCAATGGCAGCTAGGTGGGGGACCTGCTGCACAGGATTACCAACTTGGGCACAGTAGAGAGACTAGGTGTACACTTTGCAGACTCAAGTTTTAGAACAGAAAAGGAGCTCAGCGATTAAATGATTAATTTCTGCAATTTGCAGTTAAGCGGAAGCCGTGAAAGGTTAAGTGATTTGTCCAATTCACGGTAACACCACCTGGATTAGAACCTGCATCTTGTTGCTTCCAAGCCCAAGCATTCTCCGTATGTAATGTCCCTTCACATACCAGATGGAAGGGACTACTGGGATTGTGGCTGAAATCTCAGCTACGATTGAAGCCACTTTTCGGACAAAGTGAATTTAACTGACAAAGAAGACAGTGTAGACAAGAAATTATTTGGTGGCCATATGAGTCAGCCAGGTGTTAAATGTTTCCAACATGGGCAAATGTCATAACTTCTGTGAATAGGGATGTGCAGTTGAACTGTCTCCTTCAGAGTGCATTTTTTTTTTAAGTGTAATATCTCAGGGTGTATGAGTCGGAAGTCCTGGCTCCATTTGATTTCAAAACAAACCCCTCATGGCTAGACATGAATTATAAAGGTGATTTAAAAATTTCTAATCCTTATCAATGAGTGAACCATGTGCCTTCAAAAATCAAAATTTTAAAAACAAGTACAACTCCAAAAAATCATGCCTTCCTTGCAGTCATCTGTATATTATATGTGACTTCAAAAAATAATTAGAAGTTTCATCAAACATTTCAAAGTAGGAAATCCTAGGAGGCGGAGTAGGATGGCCTTAGTGCAGGAAGGGTGTTAGACTTCTCATATGAATTTCCATTTTACAGTACCGAATTTTTGTGTAATAGATATATTTTAAAGGAAGGGGAGAAGAATGACAATGCTGTAATGTAGAAAAATGTTCATGACATGGGAGACAGTAAATGAACACTACAAAGGAGTTCATTTTATTTTTGAAGAATAGAGGAAAATTCATGGTTTCAGTAGTTAGAAGTCTGGAAAATTATGCAACAAACTGTTATCTCCCATCTGGGATGACAGAGAAATTTGATTTTCTATCCTGTGCATCTCTGTTTTGTTTGTATTTTTCTTCCCCAAATTGTGTAGAATTTATTGTAGAGAAAATGTCCTAGGACCTGGTAGGCTAACAAGGCTGACAACAATTAATCGAACACATCACAGCACTAATAAAGAGGATTCTGAATGTTCACAACACAAAGAAACGACAATATCTGAGGTGATAGATGTGTTAGTCATCATGAACCGATAATTACATATCATACACAAGTATTGAAATATCACACTCTACCCCGCAAAATGTAGCTACAATGTGTCATTTAAAAATATAAATAAATAAATAAAAGCAATTCATTGCAGAAGAGAAACAGTCGGAAAAAATAAACTAGAACAAAAAAGTCTGTCTTTGCTGTTTTGCATTTCTGATGAATCAATAACGAGCACCTTGTATGTACATAAGCCTGTGCATCAGTAAAAATGTTCATTTAAATATGTGTCAAGCATACTTGTTTTGTGTGTTTATGGTGAATTTGTCCCATCTCTAGAAGAGCACAGTTTTAATGTCACTTTCCATGATAAAGTAATACATATTAACTAATGAAGTTGCAGACAATAAAAGCAAGTATACAGGAAAAAAAGAATTAATTTTCATATACTTCTTCTTAATATTCTGTTCAATTTCTCCCAGTTTTAAAAAATGTACTCTGAGAAGCCGGGGATTTAGCTCAGTGGTTCTAGCATTTACTTTGCAAGGACCCTAGTTCAATCCCCAGTAGAAAAAAAAAATACTCTCAATTCTTTAAACATTAAAATTTACTTGAAAACCATAGTATAATCTTTTGTGAGGGAAAAATATGCAAATATACAAAATTGCCTGAGGACAAAGAAACCAGATTTCAAATATGATCTCTATAGAACATTTGGTCAGCTAAAATTACTGATTTCAAATGAAAAGACTGAAAACATCCTCCGCCAGCGCATGACCTTGTTTGGTGCCTTTATTGATTCAATTTTGGACAGCAGAGTATATGAGGACAAGAGATGTTTGTTGTAACAAGATACAAGAGGTCTAATGCTTTAGCCGCATTTTCTTTTTCATGTATTTCTTTACTGAAGATGGAGCTGGCTTATTATTATTATTAGATATCTCCACAAAAGATAACAAGATAGCCACAGGAAAGAGTCAAGATAAGGCCATGTGTGTGCTTTGGGTAGGGAGAGAGATTTCAAGATGAAATCTTGATTCTTGCCCTGTGATCAGTCACTGAAGATTGGAGAACATCACAGGCTCATTGGAGAAGGCTGTTTGTACATGCCGGAGATTAGCAAAGACCCCCAAGGTGTCTGGCTTAGTGTACATTGCTTTTTGCTATTGTGAAGCACGCATACTTGTCCAAAGCTATCAATAAACTCCCAGCCTATTAAATCTTTAATTTTTGGTTTAGGGAGATAAGTGCCATAACTCCCAGGGGTTTGCTTTGAGAGTCCAGTCTTGTTTAATCTTCGAGATAAAGCCTGAGAGTCGTCTCAGAGCCCTGGGCGTGGATTTGTGATCAGGTTTCATGTCTACTTCAAGAAAGTTTTCACTGAGAGATTAGTGTGAGCAAGGACGTTGGAACATGTGTGTTCAGGTAAATCATTTTGATAAGCGATATCTCTTCTTTGTGTTGCACAGACTAGTTTACAAATTCCTTTCATTTTAAATTCCCAACATTTTTTGGAGGTAGATAAGATAGTGCTTCATTTCCAGTTTATCCAGAGGTGAAAACCCTGCTCAGTGAACCAATTAAACTCTTAAGCTGCAAATACTAGTCTAGAATTCTGTTGGCCTGACCTCCAGTTGTGGCACCGTTTCCTTCAAATAGCACTTCCTTTCATGTTATACACAAAGCCTAAGTATTCTGTCAATATATGCAAGTGTCACTCGTGTGGGACTAACGTCACCAGCCCTAAGCACCTGCAGGTCAACCTATAAACTCTCCACAGGGGACAAAAGAAGAGGCCTCTGTTTTCTTGTAACACTGTGGAGCCCGTGTGAACCATTTTTGGAGGAAGGAATGAACATACCAATAATTTGCTATGTTCTCAAAGGCAAGAAAGGTAGTTTTGATGGAAAGTTGTATTATTTGCCAAGGGTCTTTGGTGGTATATCACCTATATATGTCACTTTAATGTTGGATGAATCTTTTCTTTGAATGACTGGAGTCTTAAAGGGCTGCAGAGGAAAAAGTTGACCCTTCTTGTCTTCAGGTCTCTTAGAGGTTTGTGGTCCTGGTCTGGGAATAACTACCTATTTTTTCATATTCAGGGAAGCCACTCTAAGACAACCAGAGAAAGTAGAAGTGTTTCCTTCCACACCTGTCATCTAAGAGGTCTTCTTTGATCCAAGGTATCAGTTGTGTTTCCCAGTTAACTGTCGAACATACCAAATGATTACAAAAGCACCAAGGGACTCATTTTTAAGAGAGGCTCTGCTTGGTATCAAAGAAATGTCATAGCTCAATAAACTTGTTTCTCATTTTTGAAAACTAAGAACTGAATTCTTTCACCAATCCCATTAATTTTTGGAATAAGAGCACCAATCCAAGAATATAGGTGTGCGTAAAGTATATTTTGTAACTTTTCTTTATTGCATTTTACCTGCTAAAAAGCTAAATACAGAGTAGGAAAGAAAAATTATATGCTGTGAGTCATGTTTCTATAAATCTAGGGAAAGTTAAGAAACCATAGTAAAAGTTCTTATCCATATATGAGGATCGGGTAAGAGATGGATGATTTAGAAAAACCTTATCAAAATTCTTTGCTAGGTTACATGTTCATGGTCTTGTTACTAGCTGTACTTCAGAATTGTTCATTGCTCTAGTTTCAAATAATTATATTCTTGATTTTACTTGCAGTTCTTCTATTCTCAACAGAAGTCACCTACCTTTTTTGTGGGTTGCTTTTTGCTCTGGTCATAGAAGAATGGGTTTGGGATTACGCTATTTCAGTAATGATTTTTCATGTTGTCATCACTTCTTCCGGTAAGCAAATAAAACAGCAGAAACAAAGAAATGTATGAAGTTTGATATTGTATCTAATTGACATCCTAAGACTAAACGCTGACCTATATCCGGAGGATGATTAAAGTCCCTGCTCCTTCCCTTTTCCTCCCAAAACACATTCCCCTGCCTCTTGCTCCTTGTGGGCTCCTTGTGGATGGGTTTAGACAGCGCCATCTCTGAGTCAGGGCTGCCCCAAAATGTAGGTGTTTCTGGTCCGCTTTCCACGTTCAACTTGCCATCCACTTGCATGGAGTTTGTCTTCGTTAGGAGTATGCCCTCCTCAATCCTTTCCTGAGGTAGAAATTTACCAAAGATCTAAAAGTGGGTTGTGAGGAAACCTACCACATTGGCAGACCTGGGAACCTCCCCACACGCCTTATTTTTAACACGAATAGCAGTCCTAAGATGTTTTTATCTTCGCCTGTCCTCTCTGGATGTAGAAGAACATGCATTCAAATTTCTGCCTTTTCCTAGGAGTTTAGTCTTGGCCAAGTCATGTTTCACTTCAGTTTACTCTGCTACAAAAGGGAGATAATTAGTAAAAGTTCAATGAGATCATGAGAACTTCTTGGAAACAGCATCTATCATAAAAGTTACTCTATACTTGAGAGTTTCATCTGCCCGCTCATCCATCCATCCAAAATTTTCTCTTCCCCTCTGCCTTTTTCCTCCCTCACTACCCTCCATTATTAAAAAAAACAAAACAAAAACCCAAAACACCAACCAACAAACAAAAAAACATACGAGTGGACAATTGCAAACACATGTTATAATTCAATGCTTATTTTTATTACCAATTTAAATGACTCTTGAAATTTTAGAGTCCTGATCTATGGATAGTATAATCTGTCTGCAATTTAAGAGCAGAATTTCCAAATGAATTGCAGTTTCCCAGCTTCCCTGCTGTTAGAGTATGCCAGTGTATGGATCCTCTAGCATTATCAGTTTCCTCAGACACAAAGTAACCCAGAGAATCTTGGGTCCCCTTCCACCCACTCAGATTCTCTTTTACTTTTAGGGCTCAAGCATCTCAAGAAGACAGCCACAGCATATCTGTAAATGGATTTGGGTTTGCAAAGTGGTCCTGTACTCAAGGTGGCAATAAAGTTCTGGACTCAGGAAAGTTCTTAACTCGTGGCCTGACCCATGGCACGTAGAACATGTTGCACAAATGACTGCCTGTTAGAGGTGGTTCCAGAGTGAAGTGACTCTCACTTCTAGAGACAGCCAGGTCCCGGGATAGTCATAGAACCTTCTCCACTGCACATGACTCAAATCAACGTTGTGGGCTCCCTGAGGGCCTGACAGTTCAGAACATCATGCCTAAGGAAGGAGTTCCAAGTGTTCATCCTTACAAACAGCCCTTTTAGACCATAACTTAGGGACAAAATAGGGGCTACCAGATTCCATGAGTGGGGATACACTTTTGCTTTGTTCTATTGATATGATTGGACCAAACAAATACAAATATTTCTTCAGGAGTAAAAAGATAATGTATACTTTGAACATAAACACTACCTTTGGTATTCTATTGCAGTGATGTTGGAGTTCCCCTCGACATCACATCGGTGGGCTGCCTTAGGTATGTTGGAATTGTTCCAGTTTAGATTCTCTGTTGTACAGCAATAGTGTCAAGTAGAATACATTTTGGAAATAGGTTTTATTATCTTAGACATGGATTTTATTATATTATTCTCTTTCTCAGAGGCTCAGGATGGTCATATCCTCTTTCAGGCTGTATCTCATATCCTAAGAGAATAATAACAAAGACACTCAAGTAAATGAAAAGCACATGGTAAGCAAAGGTGGACTCTACCAGTTGTCTCTCTGGCCCAAATATGCTCTGTGGGCAGCCCAAGTATGGGCCACACCAGAGATCCTGCCTCCTTCACAGGTGTGGAGACACACCCGCTAGTAGACATACAAGAAATTTACTGCACTCTGCTTCTCCTTTTGATAAAATTTGCATTTATGAAGGAATGACAGATTTTTCTTTATGTTTTGAGCAATATATACAGTGGAAGTCTGACAGAATTTTCATGAAGCTGCAGACTTACGTAGCCTGCCTCTAAGTCTGACCTACACTGCTAGTTTGTTCTCCATTCTTTCCCCATCATTTTTCTCATATGGTGGGTAATAAGGACCAAGATATTATAGGGAAACCAGAGAAGATCTATTTTCCTTTTTTAAAAAAAGTGTTTATTTTTGTGCTTTTACTGGAATCACATATAGACTCTTGATCACAGAGGTACACAGAGGTGCCTCGAATGTTGCACTGTACACATGAGCTGACAGGGTAGGCCAGCAATAGCATGAGGCAGAAGCTTCTGCAAGGCCTGACGCCAAACTGTGCAGTCCTCCCGTTTCGTTCTCTGCCGTCTCCTCATCCCTTCTTAGAGAGTCACGCCTGACTCTCTAATCCTTCACATCTTGCTATAGGACTGCCCTTCATACCTTCTTCTGCTCCAAGACACAAGTTCTTAGATGCAACTCATCAAAGTAAATACTCTTGGAACAGTCAAGGACCCCCCGCAAAAAAGGTTGAATTTTTAGTGAGACCAAAAGGCTAAAGCCTAATGTTTCACCTGGAGGAACTGTGTTCTAAAGGACCATTCAAGAAAAATAGTCAAGTCTCAAGATATTGCTCCAGAAAGGCAAAATGAGGATGAAGTAAGTGAGAACAATCACCAAAATGGCAGCACCTTGAAATCAGGAAAGCATGGGAAAAGCTTGTGTGTAAGGAAGGAAGAATTTAAGGTACACTGAAGTAAATTAACCTCTATCTTTCCTCTTATTAACAAAAGGGCCTAGAACTGCAGCCTGGAGCTGGGTTTCTCCTGCATGCAGGGCACGAGGACCTTGCTAAAATGTAGTCTGGGGCTCAGCTGATTGTGGCCTTGCTCTTTTGTGGACCACCCTTTGAGAAACAATGACAGAGAACATGCCGAGCCTTTTAAACTATGTGTGACTTGAAAAAAATCATTAAAGCTTTATGACTCAACACTATTTTCAAGTTCTTAAAATTGAGAAGTTCTTCAAGTCATCGAAATTTAATCTCCATTGTTTTCTAATGCCTTCATTTCCTACAACGGCCATCCACATTAGCTCATTGTTAAATAATTCAGTCTAAAAATTATGTTTTCCTTATTTCGTATTTCATGAAATAGGAATGTCAAGATAAGAAGTAGCAAATATACAGAAAGTAGATTGTTACAATGTCTTCTTTTTTGATACTGGAGATTAAACCCAGAGACTTTGCACAGCCCCAGCCCTTATTTTTTTACTTTGAAACGTGCTACCGACCGTAGGGCAGCATACACGGGATTTCACGAGGAGATACAGGTTCTCTGAAAGGTGGGAGCAGGTTCGGCGATGACAGTCAGACAAAAGCACTCAACACCGAGGTGAAGTTTGCCAATGCTGCTGCAATTTTATTTCTAACTTCAGGTGTTTATATACTAGTTTCAAGGGCACATCACAAGAGTGATTCCAGTCACAGGCAGGCATAAAATAGACAATAGTACTGTAAAAATTAAGACCACAAGGTCAAGGTAAGACCACACCTATATACCATCACAAAAACTAAGACCATTAAATCAAGGTAAGACCACACCTATATACCATCACAAAAGCTAAGACCATTGAGTCAAGGTAAGACCACACCTATACGCAGTCAGAAGGGGAAGTTTGTAAGACAAAGGACTGGCTTTAGCATGTCACCTTCAGGTTCACCTTCAGGACTTCACAGTCCGGGGCTCAGGGTCAGCACTTCGGCCGCCCATCCTCTTGTGCCTCAATATCTCCACATCTCTAGGAACATCTAATTGTTCCTAACCTTTCCTGGGCCCAGAATACAATTCTACAGATAATGAACAAATAGTAATAAAGACAAAATAGAACAGAATTATAGATGAACCCAATGTCCCCAAACTGCAGGCAGAGAGGCCAGCTATTCTCTTCACGGCTGACTTTGCATGCGGTGTGTGCCAAGGACCTCCAGGAGGCTTAACCCCGTGGGGACGATACCTCTGGTCTGGTTTCTGCCAGGTGACCGGCATTGTCACGCAGACTCTACTGGCGTGGTCGTGGCAGAAACGGTCCTGCTAAATTGCTAAATTGCCCAAACTGGGCTTCAACTTGCCTCCTGCCTCAGACTCTCACAGTTCTGAGATTACAGGCATATGCCACATGCCCAGTTTACAATGTCACTTTAAAAGATTTTTTTTCCTTAGTCATATTATGAAATAATTATAAACATATGAGGAAAAGCAGTATCACAACCTTAACATTGACGTGTGCTAATAAACATCATAAAGCAAACCTGGATGCTTCCAAACAGGCTCCAGTATTTGTCAGGTGTGGAAACCACCTCTAAATCTGCTGCATTTGGCTTCCAAATAGAAAGATTTTGTAACATTTAAAAAATCATCACAGTAATCCTGTCTAAAATCTTCAGCCTGTCTTGAGAACAGCAAGCGAGCCCAAACATGTTCTGGTATTGCCATTCCACATCCACACAGTATTCACTCTTGCATTTATTGGCTGCTTAGTATGAGCCAGGTACATTGCACTTATCTCACTAACCTTACCGCAATTCTCTGAGATAAATGCTGTATTCTAGTTTTGCAAGTGTGGAAACTGACATGTACCGAACGGGATAATTTAGTAGAGTTCCTGCAGCCACTAAGGTGGGTTCCCTTCCCAGCTTTTCCTTCTGCTGTGGATTGCCGCACGCAGCTACTCCTATGTACAAATCCTGAAGCTATGACTGCGAAGACGTGGTGGTTGCAGTCTTGGAGTCCTGGAGGATTTCAGTTAGAAGACACAAGGTAATGCACACAGCTGACAGAAATCTACAGACACCCCCATGCAGGCAGTGAAGAGAGCAGAAGGAATCCAAAAAGAATAGAGAAGATCAGTTAGACTCACAAGCCCAAATAGGATGTCCCTGTTACTTTTTAGTTCTGTGACTGGTTTTCCAAATCAAACGAAAAAGCTTGTTAAAGAAAAAGCATGATTTAGGAAAAAACAGATAAACCAAAAAAAAAAAAAAAAAAAAAAAAAAA